AAGAAAAATTTCCTGTCCGGCAGTCAAACGATCTATAATTCGAATTGGTAATGAATATTGGTACTGGAGCAGCATTTGATGAAGTGGAATCCGCCATCAGCTTGCTTTTAAGCAACTCTTCGATGAGAGAACCATTGGTAGCCTGGAGCCAACTTGCCGAAACCCGGAGATTCCTCGTGGAAACACACACCATAATACAATAGCAGACAAAAACAAAGAGGTAAACATACGAGTTGTTGATCGAATCATTTCAACATATTTGCATAAATTTGGATGATCCAGCGAGGCAAGCTTTGAAAATCTTCCCAGCATGCGTGTTGCGGCGGATGTTACCGGTAAGCCGCTTGCCGCTGTACGACATGCCGATTCGCGCCCAATCAGTGTTACCGCACCGAATTCGGCTAGCCCCAGTGTTCGCATCGATTTCTGGCCCTTAACACATATCATCATTTTATGAATGTTATTATTTAAAGAATGAGAAAACGAACTTTGAAAAGCTCTAGTCATACGGTTCGGTTGGTGCACTAGACTAAAAGTAGGAAACCCAGCAACCGAAACGAAAACAGAAGTTTTTGTCCTGCTGCTGCTGCACAAAAAAGGCAATAAGGAAGATCTGAAAAAGCACTGTCCGCTTTGCTTCTCGTACATTTACAATAACGGACTAATTCAGACACCTATCAACCACTGCCAATCAAACGAGCAAGCATCTCCCCAAAGCAAATGCACTACGATGGACCACATTTTCGCTCTAAACCAGCTGCGCAGCACCCACCGGCTAACGCGCCGCAGCTGAGTGCTGCACTGCTACAAAGTGCTTTTCCCCCAGAGCCAGAAAGAGGAGGCATAGCGAGGTGGCCGTAGCGAGTGCTCTGCCAACTCTGTTGTCTGCTGCCTCACTGTCGCATCCATTTGGATTGCCAGCAGCAGCATCATCATCCCGTCCTATTGTTATTCCGCCACGATATGGCCTGTCTTTAATTTTCTGTTCCCCCTTAACAGCGAATAGCCACCACTTCT